AAATTCTGGATCATTTTAATAATAATCCGCAAAATATGAAAAAAAAATTTTTAGCAGATGCATCATGTTGACAGATGTTTTTAAAAACAGTTTAGTGAGTCAGTCGGTTAGAAACAACTCCTGTATCGGTCACATGACTTTCTGGAAACGACTCGCGCACCGATGCAGCGTTTTGATCTATGGGCTCCATGCGTGCACCCATACATCGGGGTTAATGGACCCATCACTAATAAATAGATTTAAACAATAAAATGAAACACCTAACCAGTGAGGCATGTTTCTGTGCGGTGCCAGGCAGGTGGCTGTTGTAAAAAAAAAATGGTGGGTGCACTGTATTTAAATTGATTTTAATTGAACTTAATTGATCTCACATTGGAGAAATGAACCCTCTGCATTTAACCCCTCCCCCTGGGTAGCAGTGGGCTGCCATTGTGCGGTGCCCAGGGAGCAGTGTGGGGTTAAGGGTCTTGCTCAGGGACCCAGAGTGTCAGTCTGTGGGAGTGGGGGTTGAACTCAGACCCTCAGGATTCCCAGCTCTATGCCCTAACCACTAGGCCGCCCCTCCCCCACTGACTGGGCCTAAAAATATTGGCAGCAGATATCAGGGATCGGCTGGACTGATGTCAGGATAATCCACCTTAAAAAAAGCTGCGTTGGTTGATTTATTCTCTCAGTTAACGAGCTTCTGTGGCGGCACAGACTCATAAGGAAAGCAGGAATCAGGTTTCATTCAGTTTCACTTCTTTATTGCCCTTTTCAGTCACTAAATTATACATTTCATTTTTTTTTTTCATTCATTGTTAATTTGAAAGGGGACAATTTACATTAATCAACATTAAAACAATGTAAATATACCCGAGTTAGCTAAGGAGTGCTAATTTTCATCGCTAGTCCCCCAGCCAGATATAAAAAAGGCAACCTTAAAAATAAACACAAGATAAAATTACAATACCAATTACATAAAAAAACATTATGGTTAAATACAATTCATGTAAAATGATTAAAAATTTATTGTAAAATTATTTAAATACACACAGAAAACCACAAATTTGGCTCTACAAGCCATTTTTTTTAATGAAAAAATGACAAAGAGTCTCTGAGATGCCATGTAATCCTATATAACTCTACGTGACTGTGTGTGTTTGACCTGCATGGATTGAAGTAGAGAAACCCAACGTTTGCTCCTCCCATCAGGCCTTCTGGAAGAGTCTCTGCAGCAGTACGGCAGCTTGATTCCCGTCCACGTTGATGACATCGCGGCGAAGCTCCAAGACGCCTTCCACGAGAATTTCTCTCATCCGCACAGGTCAGAGATGCTGCTCACCTAGAAACGCCTTTTCTAGATCGTAGAGCATCAGCCCATGAAGGACCATTGATTTAAAGCCGTTTGTCCTCGATAAACAAGTAACTTCAATGAATTCCGTTATTTACTAAAACATTTACAGCTAGGATCCGATTAAACTGAAAGACTGAAATATAGGATCTATGGAGGGACTTTTGTTGCATTATTGTTGCAAAAAAATGTTCTAAAAGGCAATTTGCAAAAGAGTCGATCCAGAAATCACATTTTGAAACATTTTTAAAGGGAAAATTGAAAATTTGTTTTAGGGGTAAACCTTCCTTTTTTTTTTTCTTCAAAATTTTCTCTTTGTCTATTCGAGTTTTTACGATTTCTGTTATTTTCAAATCGTGTTTTCCAGATCACTTTCTCTTCACTTCTGGGGGCGGGGCTTTCCTCTGGAGTGAAGTAGGGCTGCAACAACGAATCGATAAAATAGATAAAAATCGACTTTTAAAAGCGTTGGCAACGAATTT